CTCATTGTGGTTTTGATTTATATTTCCCTGATACTGAGTGATGTTGAGCACTTTTTCATGTGTCTGTTGGCCATTTGGATTATCTTCTTAGCAGAAATGGCTATTCATGTCTTCTGCCCATTTCTTGATTGGATTCTTTGTTCTTTGGGTGTTGAGTTTAATTAAGTTCTTTATAGATTTTGGATACTAGCCCTTTATCTGATATGTTATTTGCAAATATCTTCTCCCATTCTCTTGGTTGTCTTTTGGTTTATTCGACTGTTTCCTTTGCTGTGCAAAAAGCTTTTTTTTTTTTTAAAGATTTTATTTATTTATTTGACAGAGAGAGACACAGCCAGAGAAGGAACACAAGCAGAAGGAGTGGGAGAGGGAGAAGCAGGCTTCCTGCGGAGCAGGGAGCCCGATGCGGGGCTCGATCCCAGGACCCTGGGATCATGACCTGAGCCAAAGGCAGACGCTTAACAACTGAGCCACCCACGTGCACTGCAAAAAGCTTTTTATCTTGATGAAGTCTCAATAGTTCATTTTTGCCCTTGCTTCACTTGCCTTTGGCGATGGTCTAGGAAGAAGTTGCTGCAGCTGAGGCCGAAGAGGGTGCTGCCTGTGTTCTCCCCAAGGATTCTGATGGATTCCTATCTCACATTTAGGTCTTTCATCCATATCAGGCACTCTTAATGTGTTGTTGGGATATTTAAATGAGTAGGGCACTTTTGGAAAATGTCATGTTGGCTTCAGATGGAATTGGAAGAATCATCTCCACTTCCCACATAATGTATCAATGAGAAATGCATTTTGTTCTAAGTTATAAGAAGGCGGACTTTCAGGAAACTGAATAAATAGGGCTTTATTTTTCTAACATAACACGAAGTCTAGAGATAGGCTGCTAAGGGCTTTGATTCAGCTGCTTGGCAGAGCTCAGTTTAGCCTGCGGGGTAAAGAAGGAGGAGGAGAGGGCCCTGCTCCTCCCCGGTTTTCTCACTCCTAGGTGGACCCAGTCCTGACTCAGCTGCTTTCCTGGACTGAGACCCTTCTTCACAGCCCAGTTATTCCTGAACTTGAGACCGACGAATCCTGCTTCAGCACCACGGACAGCGCCACCACCTGATTTCGGTGTCTTGGCTG